GGTATGGGGGTGTTGGTGGGGTTATTAGGGGTTCTGGTCCTTCTGGACCCAAAACAAAAAACAAAAAAAACAAAACAAAAAACATTTTGCGGGGTGCCGATGACCCCCGACCGGTAGGTGCCGACCAGTCTAGGGCCGCCGACCATCAGGGTATGCAACACTGCTTGTAGTCGAATTTCCCCTCAACGCATCACCACTCCCGAATATCTCATCCTCCCTGTCTTTATTGCTTTAAATGACCAAAGAATGCGTCCTTCGGGACATCTGCTAAAGTTGGAACGATACAGAGAAGATTAGCATGGTCCCTGTGCAAGGATGGCACCCATAACCCGATAAATGGTCCAAAAAAAAAAAAAGAACCCAAAGAATGAGTGAATAAATGAAGAATCAATGTCTAATGAATCACCCAGCTATGCTTGGGAGAAAGAACTTCCTTGCAGCTCTCTTCCGCCTCTTTCCTGTTTCCCGTAGCACAAAAGTCTGAGGCGGATCATCCTGCTGCATACGTGAGATGTACAGAGGACAACAGAACTCCTACTCTCTCCAGAAGCCGCAGTACCAAGGCCAGACTCTCCGATGACGTCTCTGTACAACGGAAACCCAAAGAAGCTTTCTTGGTGCAGAGCCAATAAGGGGAGTGAAGATGGCTGTCCACCATAGCCAAAGTGTAAGTGGTTTCCACTGTTCTCTCCTTCTTTGTCCTCGTCTATCTCTACATCTGCGTTCTACCTCACCTCCATACCTGATGTGGGTTCCACTATCCACCATAGCTAACCTGTCCAGCACGGACTGCTCCTCCATGGCCATGGAGGTGTTCCGCTTCTCCCTCTAGACCTCCATCATGACTCTCGGCGGCTCTGCTCACTCATGCTCAGAGTGGAGCATTATGACACAGAAATTAGAAAGTGGACTGCTCACCTAATCTCCTCGACACCAGACAACTCCAGGCACAACTCGGGTTCTACATGTCATTGCAGAATGTAAGTACCCTCAGTCCCTATGTACATAAACCTAGACTTACCCTGGATTCAATCGGGCACCATCATTATACCTGCCATGAGTCCTACCGGTTCGAGCATATCGGTAATAATATTGTGGACTTCAAAACTGTGAGACTAGCTTAGACACGGTGTATGCTTAGCAGGGGCCATTCCACCAGTGTTCTAGCCAGGGTTGACCTGCTTATGACCGTGGACGGCAGCGTTAGCTGCCAATTAAAGTCACCTGTCTTACAAACTGATTTCGCGGTGCAGGTAACTGGTCTCTTGCCCATCTATTTCTGACTGTCATTTATGACCGTATGCAACATCAGTTGTCCACACATCTCAGCAGAAACTACGTCTTCTGTAGCAGACGGCATGATTGTTGTTTAAGCGGCTAGCACCTTCCAGTCCTCGCTGCTGAAGATTGTGTGCTGTGACGGACTGATCCTGCAGGTGACTACTGCAGCCTAATCCTGGTGGCGACTCACAAGAAAAAGAGCTGAGTTGTCGAGTTCAGCAGAGGGCTAATATCTTGGTACCCCCTTCCTCTGCTGATTCCCTGCCACCACCACCGGTCCCTCACTTGCATCTTCTGCTACATCATCAAGGAAGTGGGCAAAGACTGGTAGAGTGGGGTAGGGCGATGTTAGAGCGCCGCTCTAACCCCCCCTACCTCCATTCTACCCCCTTTCCCCTCTGTCTCACCTGTTTTTGAAAAACGCGCAAGTGGTGGGGCGCTGCCGATGATGAGGACTAAGGCCCCCCACTCCGAAAATGACCAAAAAAAAAAGAAAAAAGCACCACTCTACGCCCCTACACGTCTGAGCATCCCTCACCTACAGCCATCAACACCCCTCCCCTGCACCCCTCCCCTAAATCCCTCAACACACTGCCACCCCCCGTCCACACCTCAACACCCCTGCCCTGCACCCATCAGCACCCCTCACACTCCTCCCCAACATTCGTCAACTTGAACACACCTCCCCTCAACAAAGTAATAACAAGAATTGCAAGCCCAATAGCAGATTCTGCAGCAGCTACAGTCAATACGAATAAAGTAAATAATTGACCCTATCGATAATCCGGAGGAAACCAACATATGTCTGTGTAGGATCCTCAGAGACTATACGTGAACAGTCGAAGCCGCCACCGTCTCTCTCTCTCTCTCTCTCTCTCTCTCTCTCTCTCTCTCTCTCTCTCTCTCTC